CCCTGAAGGCTGCAGGTCACCAGCCCTGCTTGGGGGGCAGAGAGGAGCTGGGCTGACCTCCTTCTGAAGACTGAAGCAGGAGGCTGCACGGCTGAGTCACCAGGCTGCTGGAGCGTGGGCTGTCACGCAAAGGAACGCGGCCCCCAGAGCCCTCCAAGCCACTGTTCCCACAGCTGCTCTGCAGAAGGGTCGTGGGCGGGAGGGGGGGAGGCAGGCGAGAGCCGAGGGCCCGGGTTTCCAGCCAAGTGCAGCCTCTGTGCATCAGGGGAACTCTGCCCAGAATGGGGAAACTGAGGCTGTGGGAAAGGCAGGGTCTGTTCTCATTCTTTGCATGCAGACTTGGAATCCTGCCTCGCTTGCAGTAACATCTCGTCTTCCTCTGGCTCCAAAGTCTCCCATGGCTCCCTGGGACCCGCAGAACAAACCCACCACCTCATATCCCCCAAGGCCCTGCTCAGCTCCTGCAACATCGCATCAGAGTTCACCCCTACCTCGTGGTTCTCTAGCCACCCCAGCTTCCACATTGTTCTAGTAAAACCAGTCCCTCACAACCTCAGGGCCTTTGTACGTGACGTATCCCCTTCTGCTCCTATTCAATCTCTCAAAGTGACAATTTTAGAAATCATGGATGGTCATGCAGAGCCACCTATGAGTCAGAATTCGAACCCAGGCCCATCTGAGACTCTTCCCCTTTCCAAAGAGTCCTGCGAGGCAATGTCATGTTTTAAGTTTGTTGTAATTTTTTTTTTTTCATTTATTTCTTTTCCTGAGACAGGGTCTCTCTATGTAGCTCAGACTGGCCCTGAATTCATAGTAATCCGCTCAGGAGTGCTAGGATGAGGGGCATGAATAAAGCCACACTTGATGTTTTCTTTCAGGTCCCCTGCTCAATGAAGCTGTTTGACCCCTAGACTCTGAGGTTGCCTTGCCTAGATGCCAAAGACCCCTGGGTCTCCTCTCCCCAACCCCTTCTCCTATCCCTGCTCTGATACATCCCCACAGTCCCTCCCAATGTGGCCGAAATTTCTCTGGCCCACTTTCTGCCCTTCACAGGCATAGATGTCAGAGCCTACAAGGACATATTAGCCAAAAATAATCCTTCGACCTACCTCCTGAAAATGGGCCGGCCCCACCCGGCCACCTGGCACTCAGGAGGCAATTAGCACATGTGGTAAATGAGGGTAATTAGATCTGTGGGAACGCACTGCCATCCATGTCCCAGAACCATCTCCTCCAGTTCTGCTGCACAGCAGGGTGCTTCAGCTCCCTCTGGCCCCTTATGTGAGGCACCTGAGCTCCCTGCTGCCCCACCTTACCCTTGTCTTCACCTGTGTTCTTATTATTGATCTACACTCAGACTGTGGGAGTCAAGTTCTGACTGTTCTGGAACTCTGTTGACCAGGCTGGCCTCAAACTCACAGAAATCCACCTGCCTCTGCCTCCCAAGTGCTGAAATTAAAGGTGTGAGCCACTGCCTCCTAGATAATAATTTTTTTTTTAATTTAAAAATGTAATTATGGCCAGGCAGAGGTGGTGCACACCTTTAATCTCAGTACTCAGGAGGCAGAAGCAGTCAGCTTTCCGAATTCATGGCCAGCCTGGTCTACAGAGCAAGTCTGGGAACAGGAGACCTGGAAAGGGGGCTTGTTCTAGGTGCTGGGACAAAGCCTTGTAAGAAGGAATGGTGACTAACCACCCATTAAATGGCTCTAAGGTCACCAAAGCCTGTCCTGGAGGCTGGATGGGAGAGAGGGAGAGAGGGACTGAGCCCCCAGAGACAGTTTTGCTCTGGTCCAGCAGCTAAGCTGAGAGAGCCTGACTAATGGCCATTGCTCACATGCAGCCGCTCTGGTACTCAGTGACCTGACCTGGCATCTGCTTGGTCCCTCCTGTGGACCCAAGGCTCATCCCTTCACTGTTGCTCACACAGGGACAGGAGCCACACTCGGTGGAGCTCCAAGGGGAAGAAAGTTTTTAGGGGTCCCTGTAGCTTCTTACTTGTCACTCAGGGGACAGAAGGGAGGGCTCATTGGGCCTCCAGCCCCTCGACTTGCCCCAGTCCATACTCCAGGTGAAAAAGAAAAACTTGCCGTGTGGAAGAAGCCATACCCATGCCTAGCCCCATTCTAGCCCAGGCTGAACCCTTGTTTGTTTGATTGGTTTTGGTTTTTTGAGACAGGATTTCTCTGGCTTTGGAGCCTGTCCTAGAACCCGCTCTGTAGACCAGACTGGCCTCAAACTCACAGAGATCTGCCTGCTTCTGCCTCCTGAGTGCTGGGATCAATGTGCCACCACTGCCTGGCCTTTTGTTTGTTTTTTGAGACATGGTCTCTTTGAAGGTCTGGAATTTGCTGTGTAGACCAGGACTTGAATAAACAGAGATCCACCTGCTTCTGCCTCCTGAATATCCATCTCTGTTTGTTTTTGAGTAGTATCTCAGGCTGGGTTTGAACTCACATTGTAGCTAAGAATGAACTTAAGCTCCTATCTCCATCTTCTTTCTCAGAAGACAGACACCTACCACGCCTGGTTCCAGGAGAACTCTCAACTTTTGAATTCTTTCCTGTGCCCACACAGCACAAAGTCTGCCTGGGCCCTTGGCCACTGTGCCCTACCCCCTCTGCCGAATAACCACATGTCTGGGCTCTGCAGCCAGTCAGTGCCTGATGGACCACGAGGGACTTCCAGCCTGCTGCCCTGAGCTCAGATGCTTAAAAAAATGTCATTGGTAATAAGGTAAAAGTCACTCTGAACATAGCAGACGGTATTTTTTTTTTTTTTTTTTTTTTTTTGTTCCCAGTGTTCACATTTGTGGTTCCAGGACTGAGAATGAAGCCAAATACTTTGCCTGTACATATGCCTCTCAAAGTCAGTGCAGCTAGAAGATCCTGTTCTCCCCAGCTGGGAATACTTGCTCTGTCAAGGGGGATGGGAGCTCAGTAGGGGCCCTACACCTGCCTGTGACTCAGAAATGAATGGAAATATGTCCATATATACTAAATATATCCAAGCACCAGTGGCCAGCGGGCCAGGCCCATGTGCTCCTTGTTTGGTCTGTCAGAGACTTTAGGAAGGAGGTACCACACGGCCTGGAAGGGCAGGGAGTGACAGATGCCCTTGCAGAGGGCATTCCTGGGAGGACACACAGAGAGAAACTCACTTCCTGGCCAGAGAATGTGACCACTGACAGCTAACCACCTGCTTGATGCCCGCTGGAGGGAGCAGGGACACCTGCTAGGACTTAGAAAGAAGGAATGTCTGACGTGGGGAGCTCCAGGGCTGACCACTTGAACCCAGAGCACTGGAGCCCTTGTAGAATTTTCTAGAAATGGCAGGCAGGAATTTGCAAAGGGGACCTCCACGGGGGTAGGGACCCTACAGGCAGATAGGGATCCTTGGCTGGCTGCTGTGGGCAGACAGGCTCCCAGGGCTGAGTGACAGGGGAGATGACAGCTGCAGGGGACTGGCCACCCCCTGAGAAGGAGACACTTGGATCCTAAGACTCTGAAACAATTAATAACCCAGTTACTCCCAGCACTCTTTTTTTTTTTGAAAGTCAGGGTCTCACTCTGCAGCCCTGGATGGTCTAGACTCACACTATACAGACCAGGAGAGCCCAGAACTCAGAGTTCTGCCTGATTGTTCCTCTCAAGTGCTGGGATTAAAAGTGCTTGGCAAGGGCTCTCCTCACTGAGTTGCAGCCCCACCACCACCTGTATTGGGGAGCAGGAATCAAGCTGTTTCCCTGCCTCAGTCGCTGAGGGTTCAAGAATTTTTTATTTCTTCCCGTTTGGGGGGACAAGGTCTCACTGTGTGACCCAGTCTGGTCTCAGCCCCCGGGGGGGGGGCTGGGATGTCACAATGAGACAATCTGTCCAGCTAGGTCTAGAACCTGCTTTCAGACTCTGGCAATACCCATTGAGCACTTACTGTATACAGCCTACGAGCAGCCACACACTTTCCTCCTCAGCCTCATCTCCCAACCCTACACCATCAGCGGCCAGACCCCAGTTGGCCAAGAAGCCACCTGAAAGCTCCAGGGCCACCCCTGGCAAGAGGCAAGAAGGCAATGCATCATTGTCCACTCATTTCCTGTGTCTCTCGCTATCTCAGGGTCTCTGGCTCATCCAGGATGTTCGCTTCTGTCCACACTCCCAGGCCCGATACACCCACCCTGTCTTCTCAGCCTGCAGCCCATCATCACCTTGGGCTCAGCCCCATGGCCCTTCCGGAAAGGCTCTTGTGCCCCTACCCCACCACGCCTTTCTCCACCCCTCCGCCCTTACCCCCTGCCACCTTCTGCCTCTCCCTGCCCTTATAGGCTCCTCCCCTCTATACCAGAAGCTCTCGGACCCTGCCTCTAATCCCTTCTGCTCCAACCCCCGGATTTCATAGGTCCCTCCCGCTCCTCCAAAGGCCAGCCCTCCCAAAGCCTTCGGCTCCCTCCCGCGGGGCTTCCTCGCTCGGTTGCACTCTCCTGGTTCTAGACTTTCTGGCTCCTCCCTCTCTACCCTACCCAACTTAGCCCTCCTTGTCCGTCCCCGTCTTCTCGGCCCAGCAGTCCCCCTCACCTTGCCTTCCATCCCCCCGACTCCTTCCTAGCGCCCCCCCGCCCCCCCCGCTCCTCCCCCGTCCCTCGCCAGTCCCCTGCCTCTCATCACCGCTTCTTCTGTTCCCTCCCTTTGCTCCCAGGAGTCCCTCCTCCTGACCTCCTGGTGCCCTCCCCTTCTTCTGCCCCTTCACTCCACCCCTCCCCCCTCTTCCCCCTCTGCTCCATTCCCCAGCGGTTCTTGTCCCCCTCCCCCAACCTCCTCCGCAGTCTCCCACTGGAGCCCCCTCCCACCCACCAGTCCGCCCTCCCCTTCTTCCTTCTCTGGGTCTCCTCCCTCCTCCCCGCCCTCAGACGCTTGCCGGCAGGGGGCGCTGGGCAGAGGCGGGGCGGCGAGGGGACTGGCCGCGATGGGACGGGGAGGCGGCGCAGACAAAGGCGCGGGTGGCGCGGGGCGCGCGGAGGAAGCGGGCCGAAGACAGCGGTGGCGGCGACTCTGGGTGAGCCGGATTGACCCCAGCTTCCGAAGCACGATAGGGGCGCGGGGGCGTAGAGGGCTCAGGAGGGCAGACTGTTTCCAAAGTTGCGGACTGTGCGACGGGACCCGGGTGCTGAGGGGTGCAGGCTGAAGGGTGGGGTGCAGGCTGGGGTCCTGGGACGCGGGGCGCAGCTACACTGGGTCCCCCAGCCCCGGGCCTGGGTGATGAAGGCTCTGCTGCTTACAAAGTTGTAGGTCGACGGCTTCAGGAGTTGGGGCGCACGGGCTGCCTCGGCGCCGGTGGGGACTGGTCCCAAGTGGGATTCCGGCGCGGGGCTTCTGTCAGGAGCCCCATCGCACGCGGCTGTGATCCCCTGCTCCGCCGCTCCGAGGCGCGTGACTACTTGGTGAGTAACTTTTCCCGATCTCAGCAAGTCCCGGCAGGAGCGGCCCGACCGGGTTCGGGGACCCTTTTTGCCCAATCTCCGTCAATCCTAGTCGCGTCTCCAACTCGACTCGAGCCGCCCCTCCCCCGCATGGGGGGCTCTGGTTTCAGACTCCGTGACCACACAACAGCCGCTGCCCAGGACAGCACGGGGGAACCCTGACCTCCGGATCCTGGCCTAGCTTTGGCAGGACTCTCCTCCAGTACCCTCTGGTGCAGTTTCGGGAGTTCAGGAGGGTATCCAAAACTTCAGGTGATGGATGCTGGCATCCACCTGAGGCCGGGAAGCCCTCTTCTCTCAGTCTTGTTCTTTGTTCACATAGTGGGAACTGGAATAAGTCGATTGCCTACTGCCTCCCCATTGCTGGGTTGACCACATGTGCCACCATGACAAACTTTCATTTTTTCCTTTTAAATAGGCTGGGCTTACTGGAGACTCGACTTGGCCTTGCCCTTGGGGTGTATGCTAAGCTGTCCATTGGTGGGAGCAGAGGGTCCTGAGTTCCCTGGTAGGACCCTGCAAGTACTCCACTTTTATTCTCAGAGATGGGGTTTGGGCGGTGATGTCCAGGGGTGGCCTTGAACTCCGAGGATGTATGCTCTAACTGCCTTGACCTCCTGAGTAGATGGAACCACTGGCTGTCACCACTGATCCAGCTTTGTCCCGTTTTTTGATGCAAGACCCTCTGGGGGCTGTTGGATGGGAAAGGGTGAATAAAATGTCCTGGTCATTGATCTTGGTCTCATGCCCAGTTCCTGTGGGAGGAGACTTTCCCGGTGGCTGGTTACCTGGACAGTGAGTATGATATTGGTTACATAGTGATTTCAAAACCAGCTTGAGGCAAGTCTGGAGTGGGTGTAGGAAATACTACTGCTCTGATTGCCCAATACTGTCACTTTCCTTCCTTGCTGCTTTTGAGAAGGAAGTCACCTGGAGGACCTACTTAGCCTGAACACCCCTAGATCCTTTCTCACAAAAGCACCTTCTCTCCCCAGAGACCAAACAAGTGGCTCCTATCACCTCTCTGAGTACTCCTTAGAGGCCACCCCTCCCAGCCTGACCAATGTCCACAACCAGGTGAGCACCCACCCACTCTGGTCAGGCTTAGCCCTCTAGGTGGCCAGCCCCCTGCAGAGCTTCTGTCTTCCCCCTGCAGGGAACAGCCAATCTTCAGCACCAGGGCGCATGTGTTCCAGATTGACCCCACTACCAAACGGAACTGGATCCCTGCTGGCAAGCACGCACTTACTGTGTCCTATTTCTACGATGCCACTCGAAATGTGTACCGCATCATCAGCATTGGGGGTGCCAAGGTCTGAGCAGGGCCCGGCGGGGGCACCAGGACATGAAGCCACAGGGCCAGGCTGGGTGACTTGTAGAATGGGGATCAATGAGCCTTCCTGGGACCTGGCTCATTCCAGAAATAGCTCAGTGCTGGGATCTCAGAGAGGGGCTAGTGTATTCAGACTTTCATCATTATTGTCAAGATGGGGATGCTAGTCCTCAGTGAGCTAAGAATTCTACTCTAGCCTCTCACTGGGGGAATCCTAGGCAGGGATCTGTCCATAAGCTATGCCTCTGGGGGATTCTGGCTAGGGATCTTCTACTGAGACAGGTGTCAGGCTGGCTGCTCATGGTGGTGGTTATCACTCCTGCTGACCTTGAATCTTGCTTTCCCTACCCCCCCAGGCCATCATCAATAGCACAGTCACCCCCAACATGACCTTCACCAAAACCTCGCAGAAGTTCGGGCAGTGGGCAGACAGTCGAGCCAACACTGTCTATGGCCTAGGCTTTGCCTCTGAACAGCAGCTGACCCAGGTGGGCGGGGACATGGGTAGTGATTGACATTATGTCCCTTGGGGTAGTTCACAGATTGCAAGATCCCTTGGGTGCTCTGGGTAGTGTGCTCATTTGCCATCCTTCTCCAACTTTGCACACTCCTTGTGCCTCTCAGGGGCATCAAATGGACTAGGCACATCCCCATGCCCTAGCAGCACCTCGAGTACCTCTCTCTCCAGCTTCTGCCGTCACTACTTTTAGGATTTATTTTTGCTTGTGTTTGTGTGTATTTGTGTGCTGATGCCTGCAGAGGTAAGAGGATGGCACTCGATCCCTGGAGCTGAAGCTACAGGCTGAGAACCCTGATATAAGTGCAGGGAACTGAACTCCTCTTTTGGAGCACTCGTTATTGCTGGGCCATCTCTCTAGCCCCCTTAATTTTTTCAATAAACATATATTACTTTCTTATTTGTTTTGGGTGTGAATGTGTGTGGACACACCCGAAGAAGGCAGAAAATTCTCCGGGATTAGTTCTCTTCGTCCATCATGTGGGTTCTGGGAACCATCATCAGGCCTGGACAGCAACCACTTTTGCTTTCATTGAACCATATTGGTTTTGTTTTGGTTTGATTTGGTTTGGTTTGGTGTTTTTTGACACAAGACAGACTGTCCTGGAACTCATTCTGGAACCAGGCTGGCCTTGAATTAATTGAAATCTGTCTATCTCTGCCTCTCAAATCCTGGGATTAAAGGTGTGTACCCACACTACCTGGTCATTGAGCCATATTGCAACCCCCAAATTTTGTTTTCTTTTGTTGTTTTTTGAGACAGGGTTTCTCTGTGTAGTCCTGCCTTTTATGGAATTCTCTCTGTAGACCAGGCTACCCTTGAATTCAGAGATCCATCTGCCTCCCAGTGCTGGGACTAAAAGCATGAGCCACCACTCTCAGCTTTTGATTTTCTGTTTATTTAATATTTTATGTGTATAAGTGGTTTGCTTGCATGTGTTGACACCATGCCTGCAGAGACCAGTATTGGGCGCTGGGTCCCCTGGAGCCAGTTCCAGGTGGCTGTGAGTCATCGTGGGTGTTGGGGAAGAGCAACCTTGGGCTTCACCTTTTAACCCCTGGGCCTTGGTCCGCACCACCCCATTACTTTTTTTTTTTCTTTTTTTTTTTGAGATAGGGTTTTTCTGTGTAGCTCTTATAGAACAGGCTGGCCTCAAACTCACAGAAATCCTTTACCTGCCTCTGCCTCCCTCATTCTGGGATTAAAGGTATGTGCCTCCACTGCTTGGCTTTTGAATGATTTTCTTCCTTTATTTTTCTATTTTGTTGGCAGTGGGTTCTCACTATATGTATGTAGCCCTAGCTGATCTGGAACTTGCTATGTAGACAAAGCTGGTCTCAAACTTACATTATAGCTAAGGCTAACCTTGAATTCCTAATCTGCCTGCCTGCACCTATCAAGTGCTTAGACAGCAGGAGTGCATCTCAGGGCAGGAGAGGCCTCAGTTATGAGCACTGGCTGCTCTGGCACAGGACTGAGTTAGTTCTCAGCACCTACCTGGGCTCACAACCTTCTGTAAGTCCAGGAGGGGAATTTGAGTTCTCCTGTTTCTAAGGGCACTTGCATGTATGTACATACAATTAAAAGCAATAAAAACAAATGAAAAGTTTTCTTTTAAAAGTTTTTATTACATTTATTTATTATTTTTGTGTTATGTGGGAGGATGCAGGTGTGCTGTGGAAATCAAAGGACTACCTGTGGGAGTCAGTTCCCTCATGCCATGCAGGTCTTATGGATTCCAGGCTTACTGAGCCATGTCACTAGCCTCACAGAGATCCACCTGCCTCTGCCTCCCCGGTGCTGGGATTAAAGGTGTATGCCACCACTGCCTGGCTTGGCTTTTTATTTTTTAAGAAAGTTATGTGTTTGTGCCTATGTGTGGATGCCCCAAGAGGCCAGCAGAGGGCACTGGATCCCCTGGAATCGTGGCAGTTGTGGTTTGGTTGCTTCAGGTGGTATTTGACCTGGTGCAGTTTCTCAAAATATTCAATTATTTATTTGGTTTTTTATTTTTTGAGGCAGGCTGTCCCTTAACTCACAGGGATCCACCTGTCTCTGCCTCCCAAGTGCTGGGATTATAGGCATGCACCAACACTGCCAGGCCAGAAATTATTTCTAATACATGAAAATTAATTTAATTTTGTGTGCATTGGTGTTTTGTCTGCATTGGTGTCTGTGTGAGGGTTTCGGATCCCCTACAACTGGAGTCACAGACAGCTATGAGCTACCACATGGTGCTTTGAATGAACTGGGTCCTCTGGAAGACCTGCTGAGCCATCTCTCCAGCCCCTAAGAAAACTATTTTAAAGCCAGGTATTGGTGGTGCATGCCTTTAATCCCAGCACTTGGAAGGCAGAGGCAGGTGGATCTCTGAATATGAGGCCAGCCTGGTGTATAGAGTGAGTTCCAGGACAGGCTCCAAAGCTACACAGAGAAACCCTATCTCGAAAAAAAAAAAAAACAAAAACAAAAAAAACAAACCTATTTTATAGTAAAAAGAAAATGCATTATCATAACCACAGAACCAGCACTAGTTGTCAGATGACCCCTTTAAGAGAAGGTATGCAGGAGCCCACACTCTCAACTGGCTGGGGAAGCCCTTTCCTGTGTTATGAGGTGTGAAGGGCAGATGGACACCAGCCTGAGGCTGTCCACTCCAAGCCAGCCTGACAGGAACAGGGAGTCCCTTTCTGTGTGGCTCATAACCTTAATGTCACCACTGGAACACACCATACACTCCCACTCTGTCACCCCTGACATGAAAGATGGTCACGGGTTGACCTTTTCCAACCTCTCCCTGAAGGCAGAGTGACAGGGCAGGTGGAAGATGGGGATGGTGTGGCAGGTGGGGGAATGCTTTCTGACTGTCCCATGTCTCACCCTCAGTTTGCTGAGAAGTTTCAGGAGGTGAAGGAAGCTGCCAGGCTGGCGCGGGAGAAATCTCAAGATGGTGGAGAATTCACTAGTCCTGCCCTGGCCCTTGCATCCCACCAGGTCTGCTGGACCCCATGCCCACCACACTCCCGAGGCAGCTGTATATGCTTGTGATATCAGGGTCATGGCATTGTGCTGGTGTCTAAGGCTGGCTGATGTCCTTCCTACACTTATGCATGTGTGTGCACACATCTGAGAACAATTTGTGGAGTCAGTCCTCTCCTTTCAGCAGGGCATCAGGCTTGGTGACCTACCAAGCCATATACTCCAGCCCATGCCTCAATTTTATGTGGAATGTTTGAAGTCTCTGTGCCCAGGAGAAATAGTTCTGAGTGTTCAGATCCCTGTTTCTGTAGGTTGTTCAGGTCTTGAGGGTTTAGTGAAGACTCAATCAGGTGAGGGGGTGGGGGTTCCTCCATCCAGGGGCCTGGGGAGCTATGGAAGGTGAGGAAGGAAGACACACTATGCTTCATAGTCAGTTAAGACTCCCTGATCTCAATTAATGCCCCAGTGACCCCAGTCCTTAACTCAATCAACCTTAGCTCCTACTGTATCCTTGACTGAAACAAGTGCCCACCTTGACTCAGTCCTGGCTCCCATACACAGGTTCCCCCGAGCCCCTTGGTCAGCACCAATGGTCCAGGAGAGGAGAAGCTGTTCCGCAGCCAAAGTGCTGATGCCCCTGGACCCACAGAGCGTGAGCGGTTGAAGAAGATGCTGTCGGAAGGGTGAGCGGTGGGGTTTGCAGGTCAGGTGTGATGGGGGAACCTGCTTAATGGGCATGGTAGAAGCCTGAGGGGTGTATTGTGACTACAACTGAGCTTTAGAGTGGCAGGGGTAGTGTTTCTGGGTGCAGGGTCTTGGCTGGCATCTTATAAGGGGCATGGCTAGCACCAGGGTTGCGCCAAGTAATTCCCAGGACAGACCTCTAGGATGCAAGGGACATGGTATTGCTGGGGTCAGGACTGTAGTTAAGGGGTGTAGGTATGGGATGGGGCCTTGGATGGCCGTGGGGTGCAGCAGATTCAGTTGGCAGGGGTGTGGGGTAGGAATCTGGGCTGCAGACTTGGGAAGGAGGAGGCGATTGGGTCCTGCCTCATCTGGAAAGGAGGCTGCCCCTCTGGCAACATTTGCACTCCATTCCATGAGTCTCCTGGACTATCACGTGGCAGGGATAAGTTCCCAAAATTTTTGGAGGCAGGGTCTCGCTGTATAGCCCTGGAATTCATTATGTAGCCTAGACTGACATCGAACTTATGGGGACCCTCCTGTATCAGCTCCACATGCCATGGTCCCCACTCTCTAGCTTAGTGTTGTTTTGACCCTGCTCCTAGCCCAGGAGGCCCTCCACCAGATGCCACCTTCTCTGACCACGCATGTCCCCAGCCCAGTGTCTTCCCCGCAGCTCCGTGGGCGAGGTCCAGTGGGAAGCTGAGTTCTTTGCGCTACAGGACAGCAACCAGAGGCTGGCAGGGGCCCTTCGCGAGGCCAACGCCGCGGCTGCACAATGGAGGCAGCAGCTGGAGGTCCAGCGTGCAGAAGCCGATCGCCTGAGACAGCGGGTAAGAACCCCCACATCCCTTCTGACCTGTCAGTCTCCAAAGTCATTTCTTGCTGTAAAATGACTTGAGACCATGAGAGACTCACATGGGTCAGAGGATGGTAGGACCACTGAGGTACCTGTATACATAAAGGTGGCGGAGCTGGAGGCCCAGGCTGCTGCAGAGTCAGTCCCGGTGGGCGAGGAGGCAACCAGCCCATCGGTGGAGCAGCTGGAGGCTAGGGTGCAGACCAAGGACCAGGTGAGCCAGAGGCAAGCAAGCTCCAGGGTCTTGCCCTTACCCACGTCTCCCTGGGAATCCAGGGCATTCTGAGCAGACCTGGGACCTTTCCTCTCTAGGAGATCCAGACTTTGAAGAACCAGAGCTCTGGGACACCAGAAACACCTGACACCACTGAGCGGGAGGAGACACAGCAGAAGGTTCAGGTTGGCTGTGGCCCCTGAGGTAGAATGGGAGTATCTACCCAAAGCTGTGAAGCCTTAGAAACTAGCCTCAATCCTCATCTCTCCACACTTGAGCAGTCTGAGGCCCAGGGGAGCTTTCAGAGACCTCACCCAAGAAAGCACGCAGATCATCCCCTAGAGATTCCTGGGGGGAAATGTCCCTGTTGTCTTTGCTGTGGGTTAGGCTTGTACAATGGTTTAGAGGCCAGGAACCCAGAACTGGTGCCCCACCTGGCAGACAGTATTGCATTCCCAATGAGAAGACCTGCAGGGGGGTTGTTCTGTGTCCATACTGGGTTTTTATGAGTGTGTACATACAGGCGTTCCCATGTGGATACAGGTTTGTCTGCATGCACATGAGGCCAGAGGCTGGAGCCCAGCAGCTTCAATTTTGCCCTATCTCATCCTTTGAGATAACCATCTGAGCATGGAGCTCAAATTGCCTGGGCTGGGTGCTGAGAGCCTGCTCTCCTACCCTTGGGGTTACTGCAACTGGCTGTACCTGGAGCCCCCAATTTCACATGGAAGAGAACTGGAATTCAGGACCCTCAGGTTATAGTAGGCACTTTACTACCTCTTTAATTACAAACTACTCATTTTGTTAAAAATCTTTCTGTCTTTGGTATTTTTTCCTGAGGTCATGAGGTTAGGAGTCTGTTCTTCTACCATGTGGGTACTGGGGTTTAAACCTTCAGCTTGGGTATTTTCTTGTTGTTGGTTATTCGAGACAGGGTTTCTCTATAACTTTGGAGGTTGTCCTGGTACTCAATCTGTAGACCAGGCTGGCCTCAAACTCACACAGATCTGCCTGCCTCTGCCTCCCAGGGTGCTGGCATTAAAGGCCTAAGCCACCAACATCAGGCTGGGGTGTTTTTGACAGTGTTTCTCTCATGAGACCTAACTGGGATCAAAGGTGTGCACCACCACATTTGGCACTGGCGCAACTTTTAAAATTTAATTCTCTGTGTATGTTTGTACACTCATGCAGATTCCCTCAGAGGTCAGAGTTGGATCCCCTAGGGAGTTATGTATGGTTAAGTGGTTTCACACGAGAACCAAGATCCCCTGGAGTTCATACTCTGAACCACCAGCCCTTCATCTTACTTTTAGAAAGGGTCTTATGAGCTGGGGAAGGCGGAGGCCAGCCAGTCTCCCGAGTGCTGCGATTACAAATGCATGCCAACCATGCTCAGCTTTTTATGTGGCTGTTGGGCTCTGAACTCACGCTGGGCACCTCAAGCTTTTAAGACTGTTGTCATCTCCTAGCCCATGGGAGCCATGGGCCAGACACAGCAGGGCAGGCAACCAGAATCTTCACAGGTTGTCGGACTCCATGACCCTTCCTTCCCCTGTAGGACCTGGAGACTCGGAATGCAGAATTGAAGCAGCAGCTGCGAGCCATGGAGTGCAACCTGGAGGAGGCGCGAGCAGAGCGGGAACGTGCACGGGTGGAAGTGGGCCGGGCCGCGCAGCTGCTGGATGTGCGGCTGTTTGAGCTGAGCGAATTGCGTGAGGGCCTGGCACGCCTGGCAGAGGCGGCACCCTAGTTGGCCCGGGGGGGGGGGGGTAGGTCTGAGGTCCCCAGGTGCCCTGGTAGGAGACCACCACTGCCTCTGAGCTTTGCACTGTGTAGAGTTTCCATGGATGGCGCTGATACCCAGATTACACTTATATGTGGCTATACAAGCACGTGGCATTGCTGGCACCTCTGTTGCTGGCTGCTGCCGCCCTACATCCCAGGAATCTAAGGGAGGGTCACAGCGGTCATCCCCAAGGGCAACAGAGAGAGGCTTTGGAAACCAGAGACCCACAGCCCTGCACCCATTCTGCCCCATTCTCAACTCAGACTGACAGGTTCAGAGTGTTTACTGAGGTCTTCTGCAGCCCACCCAGGAGACTAGCAGTGACAGGATCACACTCAGGTCTGTGCCTCGGCCTGGGTCTGTGCTGGAGGCCGAGGCCTTCGACCCACTGTACTCGCTTTCTGTCGCCGAAGTGTCTGCCCCACCTTCTCCTTGAAATGCTTGTTCTGTTGCTTGATCTTGGCCAGCTCCGCCTTGCGCTTGGCCTCCAGGTCAGGGTCCTGAGGAAGGAAGTGGCTGAGGTGGGAGCCTGCAGCTTCCTAGGGAACTGCTCCCATCCCCCAAGCCCAGCCCACCCATCCCCCAAGTCCAGCCCTCCCCCTCCAGGCCCCCTCTCTCCACCTTCCCCTCCAGGATCAGCTGCTTCCGCTTGTTGATCTCCTTCTTTTCATCGAAATGCGAAGCCTCCAGTTTCTACCAGAGAGGGCACAGGTCAGGGCAGGACTGCAAAGAGTCCTGCTTTATAGCCAGCCCTGTGCACACCCCAGTGGCCACACTCACGATTTCACACTGTCTTCGCACCACATTGACCTGCGTGAGGATGTTCAGGACCTCAGCCTCCTCTACCACCAGTTCCTGCAGCGGCTTCTCTGCGGAACAGGGTGGGAGAGCCAGATGGGCAACACTGACTTGGGCTGTGCCACTGGCTTTTTGCACCCCCAGTTCTGGATGTCTGGGTCCAACCATATTTGGACCAATGACATTTAAAAGAAGCAAAATTAAGCCAAACTTGGTGGCACATGCCTGTCAAAGCACTGGGGAGACAGAGGCAGGGGGATCACTGTGAGTTCCAGGCCAGCTCTGTGGAGCAAGATCTGTCTCAAATAAATGAATGAATAAACAGAATGAGCAAGTGACTGGGCTGAGATGGGTGCCTATGAGCCCAGCGCCCTGGGAGGCTGATGCAGAACTTCTAGCCACTGCAGCCTAAACCCAGGGAGCTCAGGGAGTGTGTTTCAGGGTCCAGATGGTTGTCTCAGTGGCTGTTAACATGTGGGGAGGGCTACTAGCCATGCCTGAGACCTCAAGTCCTGGCTTCCCTCCCATCTACATATGCACTTCAGGGCTGGTGGGCCTGTGTGCAGGTTTTGTTGTAGTTCTGGCTGGGCGCCAGTAACAGTACTCTACACTGTTTAAAGTTCTTAAGGTGGCCCAGGCAGGGAAGCGATCTCCCAGCCTTGGGCAGTTCCACCCGTGGACCCTACCCACTTACTGATCTGCTCCTCGATGGCATGCAACAGGTGGATGTCATACTGTGTCACCAGTGTGATGGCCTGTCCCTGTCGCCCTGCGAGGATATGCATATTATAGGACCTGGGCCCCACGAAGGGGCTCATCCCAGCTGGTCACCTCCAGGATCCTCAGACACTCAGAACAAGAATGTGGTGGGGAGGGACCAGTTCAGAGGACTAGGGCTCCACCCATGGTGGGGTCTGTATGTGGGAACTGGAGTACAGATCTGCTAAGATGGCCTCCCATGAGGCTTTCTCTTTTTAGCTCTGCTGCCCTAGCTGACAGGCCTGTGAACCTCAGACAGGCTTCTCCACAGAATTCCCTAAGGCCACAGAGGACCCACCCAGCTCAGCAATCCTGTCTCTCTGGGTTATAGCATCAGGAAATAGCAAAGCAGATTGGTCCCTGGGCCACACCCCAGTGAGGTGCCAGGCTGGAGATAGGTGGGAAGACCCCCCACTGAGTCTGCTCAAGGACAGACCTGAGCTCTCCATGTCTTTTGCTGCAGCTAGAGCCTCCCATACCTGGCTCTGCTCACCTGCACGGGCTGTTCGACCAACTCGGTGGATGTAGATCTTGGGGAGCCCAGGGGTGTTGTGGTTGATGACAACCTGCACAGTGGGGATATCCAGGCCCCTGGAGGTATGAAGCACTCAGCTGGGGAGTCCAAGTAGGGAGACCAATGCTGACCCTCATCCTTCCCCATGTCCAGCTCTGCTCCCTGTCCTCACTGTGGTTCAGGCCACAGGAGGACAGGCATGCTATACTAGGCCTGCTCACCTCGAGGCCACATCAGTGGCAATAAGAATCCGGTACATGCTGGACTTGAACTTGGCCAGGGCTGCAAAGCGTTCTTTCTGTGCCATAAGTAGGGGAAGGTTTATGAGCAGATGGAAGGAGATAGGACAAGGCAGAGACCAGGGAAGAGGTAGTCCCAAAGCCAAATGGGACAACAGGGTGACATGGGAAGAGGGTGCAGCACCACTTAGCTGTGATATCTTTTTTTTTTTTTTTTAAAGACAGGGTCAAGCTGGGCAGTGGTGGTGCATTCCCAGGACTTGGGAAGCAGAGGCAGGCAGATCTCTGTGATCTCCATTAGCCTAAGATGGCGAGGAGTCCAGGTATAGCTACAATAAGCATATAAAGTATGTGGTCTATGTGGTTGGGGATGGAACCCAGGGTCTCCACCAACTGAGCCCTATGCCCAGCCTGAGTGGTGGCATGTGAGACTAGGGATCACCTGCTTCATCATGGAGTGCAGTGCCACTGTAGGGAAACTGAGCTTCCGAAGCATCATACAAAGGATCTGACAGGTCCTGGTGGGAAAAGAATGGTTGTGAATGTCCTGTCACTGGGACCCACTGGGACATCACTCAGGTGGCCTAGGGGTTGAAGAAACAATAGGTCTGCTGTGCTTCTCAAAACTAAAACCAACGAGGACCAGCCCCAACAGTAGTACTGACTTCCAGAATAGTGCTCAAAGCTGAGCCTGATGGCCACTCAGCTCCGCTCCGCAGATAACACTTCCTCTTCTGTGCACAGACACAGACCCTCCCATCTCTGCCCTTCTAATTGACTCAAGCTAACACAGCCAACAGCTATTTTGAGATTTTTGTTTGGTTTGAGTCAAGGGCTCACTGTGTTGCTCTGGCTGGCCTGGAACTCAGACTAGATTGGCCTCTAACTCACAGATCTGCGTGCTTCCGGGTGTTGGAATTATGCACCAGCAGCAGCAGCAGGCCAGGCCTGGTCTAGCTTCACCTTCACATGAGGGAGCTTCGCACTTACTTGCAGGTATTGGTGAAGATGATGATGGAGCAGTCCTCCAGCTGGTCTTGGAAGGTCTGGACTAAGTGCACCAGGTAGGCATCCTTCACCTTCTCTGGCACCAGCAGGTATCTCTGGTCAAGCTGCTCCACTGTGCGCACCCTGGAGGTGGAAGAGCAGACCAGCACAGCCTCAGTTTCTCCTTCTGTCTGAACTCTCTGGTCTGATCCTCACCCACCCACCCAGCTTTAGGACTCACGGGGCCTGTGCCTCCCAGAAGAAGGGCTGGTTGGTGGCCAGGCCCTGCAGCTCCTTGAGTGTGTCAGTCAGTGTGGCACTGAAGAGCAGCGTCTGCCTGTGTGCTGGAATGGCTGCCAGGATGGTCTCCAGGTCTGCAGTGAAGTCAGTGCAACCTTGCTCCAGTAACCGGTCAGCCTCATCCATCACCTGCACCAGAGGGGTGGGAGATGGGGCTGGAGCAGTTCAAGAGCTGCAGATACAACCCAGGACCTGCCCTAAGCCCAGCACACCTGACTTTCAAGGACTATGCATTGTGTTCCAGAACACTGTCCCAGGCCTCAGGTCCATGTCACCTACTCTGCAAGCCCTCTAGGGAGCCCCCTTTCTATATGCCTTGTCTCTATTGGGCTTTTTGTTGTATGAAGCAGGGCCTCAATGGGTAGCTCTGGCTGTCCTGGAACTTACTATGTAGACCAGCCTGGCCTCAAACTCATAAAGACCCTTCTGCCTCCACCTCCTGAGTATTGGGATAAGAGCCAATATGCCTAGGTGGCCCCTGTCTTTATTTCTAGCCCTTTGCCCAGTGAACTGTGAAGAATAAATGTCAGCAGAGCACAGATGCCCACATCTATACAGAGAGTTCCAGGACAGCTGGGACTACATAGAGAGACCCTGCCTCAAACAAAAGGGGAGGGAAGGGGAAAGGAGAAGAGGAAAAGGAAGGGGATGGAAGGGGAGGGGAAGAGAGGACAGGACAGGAAAAGGAGGGAAAGGGGAAAGGGAAATGGAAAAGGAAAGAAAAGAGGATGGATACGGTGTGTTTCCCAGTGGTTTCGGCTCCAGGCCCAAGGGGAGCACCAGTGGCTTACCAGGAATCGGATCTTTTTCATGTTCAACATATTGGAGCTGCGCAGATGATCAGCCAGGCGCCCAGGAGTGGCAATCACTACATGTGGCTTCCGAGACAGCTCCAGGGCCTGTGCCACCATGTCTGGAATGGAGGGAGAGGTGAGGCTGGGTGGGTGGGATCAGAAGGGACCCCATGGCCAGCCCCATCTTCTCAGCCCCTATACCCATGCCGCCGACGATGATGCAGTCCTTCAGGCCGAGGGGCTTCCCCAGCACCCGGAACTGCTCAGCAATCTGGTAGGCCAGCTCCCTGTGGATGAGAAGGACCAGTTGGGTTAGTGTGTTGTAGGATTTTAATCAGTTTAGCCAATGCCTTTTGGGACAAGGAGCAAGTCATGCTTTGGGGCTTGCCTGCCTCCATGACAACCTGAAGGCGGAAGGACAGGGCTGTGTGCAGATCAGATCACATCTTCCAATGCCTTTGGGCAGAAGCCGAGGGCTCTCTGCCTTTACATTGTTAAGTGTTCCCCAAATAAATATTTGCTATTCCTTTATTTCGGGCTTGTGGACTCCCTTATTCTGCCCACATCAGTGAGCACCTGTGCCGGTCCCCATCCTTTCTCCTTCCCCAGGCTCCTCAAAATCAGTTCAAGGGGGATTGGCACCACAGCTCAGCGGGTAAGATACAAGCTAACATCCCAAATCCCATCCCCAGGACCCACATGGTGGAGGGTAAGAACTGATTCCTGCAGGCGGTCCTCTGACTTCCATGTGTGCATGGCATGTGCTTACAAACACATAAGGGCAAGGACCTGAGTTCAGATAAGCAGAGCCCCTGTAAAAGCTCAGCATGAGGCCATATCTCTCACCTCAGTGAGGTGAGGAAGGACAATGAGACAGGAGGATGGCTGGGGCTTTCTGGCCAGCCAGCCTAGCCAATTAATGAGCCCTAGTTTCAGTGAGAGAAACCCTGTCTCAAAAAAATAAGATGGAAGTGGAGAAAAGGCTCAGTAGTTAAGGGTAAGGGCAAAGGCCAGTCTTCTGGAGGCCCTGAGTTCAATCCCCAGCACTCATATGGTGGCTCACAAGTGTCTATATGGTGGGATTTGATGCCCTCTTCCGGTGCACAGATAAAGCACAAACCCAATAACTCTTTGGCTGGATATAATGGCATACACCTTTAATCCCAGCACTTGGGAGGCCCAGGTGGGAGGGTTTCTTTTGAGTTCAGCGTCATCCTGGTCTACACAATGAGTTCTAGGACAGCCAGGATTACACAGTGAGGCCCTGTGGGGGTGGGATGGAAAGGAGTTCAAAAGACGACCCAATGGTTCAGAGCAAGTTACTGCTCTTGAAGAGGACTTGAGTTCAGTTCCCAGTACCCGCATTAGGAAGCTTACAACAGCATGTAATTCCAAGGGATCTGACACCCTCTCCTGACCACTGTGAATACTACACTCACAAAAACAAAAAAGAAGGCTGGGCAGTGGTGGCCTCCCAGAACCTGGAGGCAGAGGTCTACAGAGGGAGTTCCAGAGATCTGGGGTTAAAGGTGTGCACCACCATTGCCCAGCTGTAAAAAGGAGCAATTCTTATCCCATTTCATACAAATGTTATGGGATATTTGTATAGCATGTGAAGATATATTGCTGTGATTAGTATAATTAAAAAGCTGAACGACCAATAGCAAGGCAGGTGGTATAGGCGGGATTTCTGGGGAGAGAACAGAAGAGGAGAATCTAGAAGAAACAAGGAGACAGGAAACAAAAGGTGCAAGATGTAAGAGAGATGGTGGCACGTAATAGAATACAGGTAATACAAATGGGTTAATTTAAGTTATAAGAGCCAGTTGGAAACAAGCCTAAGTTATAGGCTGAGCTTTCATAATAAGTCTCTGTGTCATTATCTGGGAGATGGCTGGAGGGACAGAAAGACTCCTTACAAGGAAAGCAGCTCAAGGTCAAGGTGCTTGCTTCAAGAAAGCCGCCAGATTAGTCACATTCAAGGGGTGTGCTGGGGGCTCACCTGGTAGGTGTCAGGACCAGGCAGAAGATGCCATAAGGGTCCTCAGACAGCTTCTGCAAGATGGGAAGTACAAAGGCAGCCGTCTTGCCACTTCCTGTCTTTGCACAGCCCAAGCAATCTCTACCTGGGCAGACAGCAAAGCAGTTATCAATGTGAAGCAGGGGCCACAATTGGTTCATTGGTCATTCACTCACTATTGTAAGGAACAGATGGTTATGGTCTCTTTTCAGTATGAGTTCCTCAAAGGCACAGATGAGCAGGAGGTGCTGGGCCCCTCTTCCCCCCTAGTTGGTCGCTGATTAACTTAGAATTCTAAGTGATGGAGAATTACAGGTGTTTGTGTCAGAAAAGGGCGGCAGCCTCAAGCTCCAAACTATTCATTAGATAAGGTTTGGGATAAACCAATGGGATGGGAAATCTGGGAAGAGGACAAGTCCTGCTGGCTTATGGAAGAAAAGGTTATGAATTTCTCCAGATGTGGGGAAAAGCTTCAAAAACTTGCTGAAAATCAGCACACCAGCCATTTTTGTCTTTTCTGTATGCTGGCACCCTTTCTGCAGAATGCGATGATATTAAAAACTGTTCCATTTTCACTAGTTTCTTGAGTTTGTTACTGTTTAATTTCCAATAATTATTATGATTACTTCTTTGAAACAAGGTTTGAAGTAGCCCAGGCTGGTCTGGAACTTGCTACATCACTGAGAAATATCCTACTTCCACCGGTTACCACACCTGGCTCCAAGGATGTCTCTTTAATGGCAAAAGTGAACTGGGACGAAGAGCACTGACACAAACCCGGCGCCCTGAGTTTTACCTGGAGTTTGACGGCTCCCGTTTCTTTGTACTAAGTCAAAAAGACCACCAGGTCTACCCTATTTTTGCAGTGACCTGGACTAATTCACCCAAAATCTTCCTGTGCTTGGGCACTACGAAAATTCCATTGCCTATATGACAATGGACAGGAGTTAGTAGCAGCCTAAACGTCAATGCTGTGTGTGTGTGGGGGGGGGGGGGAGGTCCCTGAAACAACCAAAGCCGACTCTGACACGTGGGACCCAAGTGAGGGCTAAGGAAGAGAAGACAAAGGCACTAGAAGAGAGGAGAGTACTCACCTTCCAGAATGGCTGGGATACAACCGAGCTGCACCGGCGTGGGCTGCTTCAACCCCAGCTGCCGACATTGTTCCATGAGCCACGATGACAGCCCGAGACCAGCGAACCCCGCCATATTCAAGACCGGCGCAGAAAAGACTACATCCGGCGCGCTGATAAAAAGCGTCACGTCCACCGAGTCCCTCAGCCAATCGACCGCTTTATGGGCGTTTTCTGCTTGCGCCTTCTCGCCTCCTGACTGGATCTGAACTACAATTCCCAGGAGGATTTGAATCACGCGGCTTCAGTTTCCACACCGCCGATTGGTTCAGTAGGATTATGTTCCCCACAATTCCTGGCGGCGGGGCCCTGCTTCCGGCCTACGTGTCTCCCAGAAAGAGGAAGTGTGTACAGTGGTGGTGACATGGCTCCTCCGGCTCCCGGCGCGTCCTCTGGCGGCTCCGGAGAGGTAGACGAGCTGTTCGATGTGAAGAACGCTTTCTACATCGGCAGCTATCAGCAGTGCATCAACGAGGCACAGCGAGTGAAGGTGGGCGGCGGGCGTGGCTGCTTCCGGCTCTGGGCGGACGCGCTTTCTCTTATAGCAAAGGCTTGTTTTGAACTTACTGTCTGAATTTATCCACCTGTTTCTGCCTCCCGAGTGCTGGGATTGAAGGCGTGCGCCACCACCGTCCGGCCAGCTGAGTGTTGTTGATAAGTTACCCAGTCACACATTCATCACTCTGCGCTCCTGCTGGGTTCAGTGGGAGATAAAGTTGGCAGAGAACCAAGCTTTCTAGGAACATTAGCCTGGGCAACAGAGGCAGAGCAGGCAGTAAAAAAATGACAGGAGGATGAGTTATGGAAAGTAGTGGTCTTAGGCTTGGCCGTTTTGAGTGTAAAAACAGCCTGGCGTTCCAGGGCAGTGAGGGGCTGGGGCCTTGGATCCGGTGGAATGCTTGCAGCATTGTTCTTACTTAGCTAATATATCAGAGTTTGTGGACTCTGCCTTGTTCAGGTTCTCCACTTCTTAGCCTCCCCAGTAATTATGCATTGGCTGATGACTCCCTAAGCTTCTAGAAGGTTCTCTCTACCTCGTGGCTTTCCTTCCATCTCAGAACAGCAGATGTGGGGTCCAGTCATGCTTAGAAGCCCTGTGTTTGCTGTCAGTTTCCTCTGTGTCTCTGCTCTTTAGGACTTATGTGGTTAAGTTCCTGATTCTGGACTCTGAACTCTAGGAATGTGGTACAATACATGTTTAGTATGTGAAGTCACCAGTCACTGGCCCAGCAAGCCACCTCAGCGACCCTCTGGATACTGGCATCTTCCTTCCTTTCCTTATTTCTTCCTCTGTGTGTCCGTGCCCAGTACTGATCGTCGCTTCCTCTCTTATCTCCTCCCTTTTACACCTACCATCAGCCAGCCCCTCCACAGCCCTGTCTCAGACACCAGCCATCCTAGTTCCCATCTGGGAACTTACCCATCAGGGTGTCTTGTAGTTCATCCACATTCTTCAGCTGAGTTCCCAGAACACCTTTCAGCAGCCCTTCTAGAACCTTCAGACCACATGTGGCCACATCACACATCTGTTCCTTTCTAGTAAGGAGGCACTAGGATTGTGGTGGCTCAGGCCAGGGTCTCTCCCTGCTTCAGCTTCAGGCCCTATGAGAGCTGCTAGTTGCTAGACTGCTGGACACTCTGTGGTGACTAGGACCCCTCAGGGTGTGTGGTCTCAGCTACTCCAGAGGCTGGGGCACGAGGATCGGTAGAGCCATCCTGGGCTCTCTGTCTAAAATTAATGTATGTATCCACTTACCACAGAATGGCCTGGCCTGTGTGTCAAACACTTCAGTGCATCTAGCCTTTTGCCTTTGCTTCTGTCTGTCTTTTCCTCTGTTTCTTGAAATGCTGGGGATAGAATCTAAGACCTGCACATACTCAACATCTCTGCTATCTTGTGGCTCCGCAGCCTATGTCTCTGGGGTTCATTCAGGCACTCCCTTCTGCAAAATATACAGGCCTTCAGCTTCAGAAAAGTCAGCCACTCTCAGTTGCCTCCCTCCTTCCAAAGCCTCCTGTCTCCTTCACAACAGGCTCTACAAGCCTTGACTCTTTATTCCCAGAAAATTCCTTCACTAAGTTAGAGTCCAGGCTGACCTTGAACTAATTAGAATCCTTCTGCCTCAGCCTCCTGGGTGCTGGAACCCCAGGCATGGTAATGCATACCTGTCATCCCAGCGTGCAAGATGCAGAAGCAGGAAGATATAATGTTCAAAGTTGTTCTTGGCTACATAGGAAGTTTGAGGCCAGCCTGGTTTACATGAAACCTTAAAGCTCCCCAAATAATAAAATAATAAAATGAAAAAAAGCCCAGCTGAGCTGTGTGTGGGGCTTTTCTACATGCAGAGGGGTTGGAACATGCAATGTGGCTAGTGCAATTGTAGCCTTGCTGCGCACTGTGGTACTTGGAATGGTAGTATAGCTTCCAACTCACATGGGTTGAGATAACAAGTTTTTCATACCGTGTGCCCTCTGGAGGCTTCCTTGGGGCTTGTGGGTCTCCTGGATTCCAGCTGAGACCCAGAGTTAGTTAGACTGGGTACCCCAGCTTACTCTATCCATCTCCCCACAGCTGTCCAGTTCCGAGAGGGAAGTGGAGAGGGATGTCTTCCTGTATAGAGCATACATCGCACAGGTTAGTGTGGGCTGGCCTGGGGAGGGGCACAGAGCACTCTGCAGGAAAACTGTGGGCAGCCAGGCAAGGGGCCTGTGTCAGGGTTCCTCCTCATGAGGAAGGGTAGGTATGTGTGGTCAGAAGACAACTTGCTGCACTCCATTCTCTCCTTCCATTGTGTGGGTCCTGAGGCTGAAACTCGGATCATTTGGCTTGGCAGTCATCTCACATAGTGCAGGCTGGCCTTTCACTATGTAGCCCAGGGTAACCTCTGGGCCCTCTACCTCCCCTGTGCCACTATGTCTGACTTCATCATTACCCACATAAAACAGTGAGGTTTATTTTCACATTCAAAAAGCAACCCCAGGCTATGTAGGGTGGCACAGACCTGTCACCCAGCGCTTGGGAGACAGAGGCAGGAGGAGCTCAGGTTTGAGGGTAGCCTGGGCTACCCATGTGAGTTGGAGTCTATACTACCATCCCAAGTACCACAACACACAGCAAGACCCTGCTCAGAGTACTTATTTCTCGTGACCTCTGAAAAGCTCTCTTCTTCACTCTGGCCCAGGGCAGGGCTCAGATGCCTAGGAGTGGTATTTGACATATAGAACTCCCCCTGCCTCAGCACATGATGTGGCCACCAGCCCCATCCTATCCTACACTCCTCTGTGTGTGTTAGAGAAAAGCCAGGTATGACTCCAACAGAGTGTGGTGACACATCCCTAGCACTTGGAAGGCTGAGGCAGGGAAATTTCTGCAAGTCTGCCAGTAGCCTGAGTAAGAAAAGGACAGGCTGGTTGCAGAAGTAGCCATAGGTATCAGGAGCAGGCCCTTCCAGGTGAGGGGAAGGTGGAGATACCCTGCTGTCCCCATTCTGCCAACATCATGTTCCCAGCTGGGTATGACAGGCGAAGGCACACCTGGCAATGTTGCTGCCTGCTGCTGGTGCAAGTGACACTGCTGGCGTGGGCAGTGTGTTGGTAGTGCTGGTGGTGGGTGGGGAGAGCTGATGTGTACCTGTGACCATAGAGGAAGTATGGTGTGGTCCTGGACGAGATCAAGACCTCCTCGGCCCCAGAGCTCCAGGCTGTGCGCATGTTTGCTGACTACCTTGCCACTGAGAACCGGAGGTAAGGCCTGGCTAGGGTAGGGTCTGCTCCACCAGCAGAGGGAGGGTGAGGTGTCCTTCTACCCCTTCACTTCCTGGGGTCTCCATTTCCCCAACCTGTCAGTGAAGGTAGTGACAGAGCTGCTGCATGTCACTTTGCAGGGCTAGGGGTGTAGCTGAGTATTGACTGTTCAACCTGCATGTGGCCTTGGCTTTCATTACTAGCACAGAAAAGGATGTGGGGGCTTTGGGAACAGTCCATCAAGCCCTGTCCCAGAACCTCAGACCCCCACCCATGAGAGGACCCAAGAACAATGTCCCTTCCTAGCTGCCTGGTTGGCTACACCCAGATTCCAGTCTGTTCTCCCTGCTTCAGCAGCAACCAGGCCTGCCTGTGCTCTGTACAAGACCCTGGCACGGAGGCCTTTGGGCTTCCTATCCCCCCAGAGGTTGACATGTTGTGATCAGTTTCTCAGCTGTCACATACAGACTTACCAGCGGGCCTGGAGTACCTACTCCCACCTCTCAATCTGTTTTGCCATCTGCATGAGAATGTGTGACTCAATGCATCAGAGGCTAGGCACTGACGTGGCATGTTAAGGTAGCCTGGCACTCTGTAGGGATGGCTGGGCCACTGCTGCACTGCTGCGCATTGGCATGCTGACATACCTGCTCTGTACTCTTGAAGAATGGGGTCCCTCACAGTCACAGGGCTGAGGCTGACTCCTGCCTTAGCCTCACTGATTAGCCATATCTCACAGGGATGCCATTGTGGTGGAGCTGGACCGTGAGATGAGCAAGAGTGTGGATGTGACCAATACCACTTTCCTGCTCATGGCTGCCTCCGTCTACTTCCATGACCAGAATCCGGATGCAGCCCTGCGCACCCTGCACCAGGGTGACAGCCTCGAGTGGTGAGTGGCCTGGAGTCTGTTCCCTTCTAGTTTTTCTGAGACAGGGTCTCACTGGGGCCCAGTGTAGCCATGACTCCTACAGGTTGTTTTCTGATTACATACATACACACATATACACGCAAAACACAGAAAAGAGAACTAGGAGGTGGCTGAGCTAAAGGACCACAGAGGGATGAGTTAGAGAGGAATATAATCAAAATATGTTATATCATGTATAAATTATCTGAGAACAAATTTAAAATTATTAAAAAATGAAAATTAAAAAAAGAAAAAGAAATAGGGACAAGGAGTCCAGGCATATAACCAACACCCCAGCTCCTAGAAAGCTGAGGGAGGCGGAGCAAGGCTTTTATCTGTGTGTGTGTGTGTGTGTGTGTGTGTGTGTGTGTGTGTGTGTGTGTACATATATATATATATATATATATATTTTATTTGGGAACAGGTTACA